ACATATTTCTCTACAATTAGGCGTTTATTTACTTACATCTCTCCATAAGTGTTTTTTAAACAGCTTTAAAAAAGCCAAACGAAATGATTAATTACGTTAACTTATGTAAACTTTTTAAATAGTTTTTGCGTTAAAAAATTTACAGTTGGATTTTTTTTTGTTTTGGTTAAAACTTTCAGTTACGTTCAGAGACACATTTCTGTATGTTTTATAATGACTCGATAGTTAAAACCTTCAGAATAAGTAGGAGACATATTTCTCTACAAATACTACAATTTCATAATGTCCCTTTTACAAGGAATGTTTTCGTTTCAGTTAATTAGTATAATTAATGATCTGATCTTGCTTTAATACATACAGATTAAGTATGAAATCACATAATAAAACAAGTAATTAGAGTCATTATCTATTGTTAACTACAGGTATTAAATTTCATAAAGTAATTTCAATGTTACTTTTTTCTATCTCAATCGGGGGTGGCTTAATGAGCAAATTATGAAATGCTATACTACGATAACCATTATCAATTTAGGCATTCTTAGTTATATCTTTTTTGTCAATCTGTGATTCATGCTGTTATTAGATGTTAATGATTTTACTCCTGTGAGGATAAACAAGGACGCCATGTTAGTTTTGTGTTAAAGAATAGCCTAATGATCACATTACCTTATATTATTTAAGCACTCAACATCTCATATCAATGTACCTTAGTGGGTTTATATATTAAACTTTGTATCAAGAGCAACTGCCAGTGTCGTATTTAGGTGGTAATTTTTGGGCCAAGGTCCCACCACTATGGCCATAAATAAAAAAAATTATTCTACTTTCATTTTTAAAATCGCGTTAGATGACGTAGCCTATTCTCCAGTTTCCCACATTTATGGTATGGGCCAACGTAAACCTTGGAATCTGACGACCATTGCGTCAAGAGTTAGTTTTGCCAAGTGATTCAATGTGCATGCTCGACCGAAGCCATGACTTGATTTCGAGAAACCAGCCAAAGAGCATTGGTCTACATGTACCCAAGTAGCAATTGCGATTCGAAATATGTGTCCAACAGAAGTGAAGAAAAGTAATACATGACCAAGTGTATCAGATTCTGTTAACGCCGGTTTAACTCATTTTAAAATACTGCTGTTCTAATTCTGTAGAAAATTTCCTCTAGAGACAGTAACGTCTGATTCTTCTCTGTTTCTATTAAAGTAAAAATCATTCCTGACTGCCATCAAATAGTTATTAACGTTGCCCACATGAAAATAAACTATTCCCAATGGCACTGTCATGGACTAAACAACATATATTTTAATGATACACTAGGTCACAGCTACAGTGCTAAAAGCGACATATCTTTATTTTGCTATTATAATATTGCGTAATATCATATGTCTAAAATGTCCACAAGGAATGCAAACATCTTTTATGTACCCAGGATATAGGGCTTTTTATTTTCTTAAAGAATATCATTATGTGTGTGATCTTCTGAAAGGAGACAATCTTATTAAACAGCAGAGTCATCAGTCAATTGATGTTAAATAAATATGCCCAAGCAACGGTATTAGGTGTGTGCCGCTTCTGAAAGAGGTGACCTCGGGTACAATCTTGTCCACCAGCAGAATTATTATACCCTATGAAAATTATTAGGTGACCTTCTGAGAGAAGACAACCTTGTCCACTAGTAGATTTATATCCTAGCAATAATATCAGGTGTGTGACCTTTTGAAAGGAGACATTTTTGTCCACCAGCTGAGTCATTGTCATTTATATTAAAGAAATATCCACAAGCAATATATTTGGTGTGTGGCGATTTTAAAAAGTGATAACCTCGAGGACAATCTTGTTCCCAACCGAAGCTATTGGTCTATTGGTACAGTGTAGCGAATATACCCAACAAATATTATATTATGTACACTGTGAAAATTGTGCTTAAAGCTTGAACTTCTCTGAATGTATGCCGTTGTTTCAGTATGACTATGGAATAAAGAGACTGTATATAAAAGCTTTCCAGAAAATCACTAATTGGATCTACTCTATATATTATCAGATTTTATTCGACAAAATCAATGTTTTTCAGTCAATCCATTTTCACTTGAAAGTGTCAAGTTGATTGGAGAGACACGATTTTAAAACGTAGAAATAAATTCATTGATTATTTCCATTGAAAATCATTCTGTCGCAGGCTATTTTCTATGTTAGAATCAATGCACAGTTCAAATGAGTCCATTGCGTTTGAAAAAAGGATTTTTGGAAATTGTCCAGATTGTCACACGATATCAGTGAGCCACCATTAATTTCAAAGGTAGTAATGTGTCGTGTACTGAACATATGACAAGTTCTTTCTTTACTATCTGGATAGATGTTCACCGATGTTCACGCCCAGGTCCCGTATTCTCGAAACGATTTTAGTGTTAGGATGTCCTATATTCTGAACTTTTAACTCTGTTAATAGGATATCCTAGTGCTAAGAACGTTTCGAGAAAACGTGTCCTGGGGTTTTCAACTTTTTCTTTCTATTACCCAATCAGGATCCTGGAACGATTATATACCCCCTGCACCTCCCGCGTACTATTTCGTGATTTTCTCTTACTATCACTGGGACGAAGGAACGCTTGTATCTTTGAAACATGAACAGTCGCTATATATTCAAATTGCAACTGTAACATTCCGAACACTTCCTTGAAAGCAGGCGTGTTCAAGGGGCCATCTTCACAATGTCAAGCTATCGTGAACTTCTTCTTATAAAGTTCGTAATAGCTTGGCATTGTGAAGATGACTATATGCGCATGATGTGATGCTGTTTTTTGCATCTAAGCTATAATCTAAGAAAGACCGACCCTTTCAATATCTATAAACACTTTTTTGGAATATTTGAAAGGGATACCGATATGACAAACTTATTCAAACGATTTCTCTTGGTGAGTATACATATATCGCACAAAAAATGATTTTGACCATTATAACTTTCAATAGTATCTGACCAATTTCCAAAGCTACTACACGCTTTCTCAATAGAATCCAGATATGTCTGTACACAAACTTCCTTGTTTAATGCAACAGTGAGGATTAGTTACACATTAATGTTTGAACAATTTGTCAATGCCTGCTAGCTATTCTTTTGAATACTTCCGCATTTCTTGTTTACACTTGTAATAATCACCAAGTTTAAAGCTGAACAATTAAAGGAGACATACCAGATTCATCACATGGATTATTTTTTTTATTAACTTTTATGAAATGAAGTGACGTGGTGTAAAACAGACATGTAAAACAATATAGTGAGGGGCTCCGATTCCCAGCTCGTAGATAATGAGAAGTTACTCTTTTTAGACATCGTCTTTTATCACTTCTATAGGCCACTTTTCAATCTGATTGTAGACGAATGGAACGTTTATCTTCAATTGGAAAAGTGGTTGGGGAAGTTGGAATCAGGTTTTTCAGTTGCTGAATTGATGAAATAGAGATCTCCCTCGCTTCAAAATCTATATGTGATATTTGCTTTAAATAACTGCGATTCGATAAAGGGAATTGTTCTACAAAGAAGAAAAACATACCATGGCTGTGGGCTATATCATTGATGTTAGTAACAATACATCGATGTTAGTATAACACATATCTTGAAGGGATAATTAGTTAAAATACCAGGGTTATATGACAAATCAGACGAAAAAATGATCGTTGCTCAAAGCATATTTTGAAATTGAGATAACGTTCACGCTTATTTACAATTATGTTTCCTATTCTCTCAGGAAAAAGAATTATACGCATTAGACATAGAAAAGTTTTAAGAGGCTTTGATTTTATAATTTGACTCACTCATGACATGAAGATGACTTCAAGTATAAGTTTATTTTTGCACCAAACCGATTTTCCTACGTGTATGGTTCCTGTAATTATGGAAAACTTTTACATTTGTATCGTCAAAAATATTTGAATGAAACAGGCTAGAAGTTATGTTTTAAACTTACATGTAAAGAAGTATTTAAAGAATAGATTTGTCAAGGCCCTTCAGTGAGAATTTTGTGCATGGTTTTCTTGAACAAGAGTCTTAACATCTGGAAGTAGCTAGATCGCCATCGCCAAAATCCCCCATTAGAGTATTATGTAATCAAGGGTGCATATGGAACCCGGTTGAGAAGCAGTAGTGTAGAGAATAGTGCATGGAAGGGTTAATGGAGCACAGTCGATTGCAACAAGGATGGTGTTCTGGCTTATATATTTTTAATCCAAGATTTTAACCGAAGTCAAAATGTCATCTTTATGATTGAAAGGAAGAGTTTAGTATAAAGTAGACCATTAAAGTTTATGTGGTGTTTCAAAGCTATTCATATTTTGGTTAACGTTTGGTCAATTTAGTCACAGAAACGCGACTGCCCTTAGTATCAGTCATATTATGACGTTTCTTCAATTACCCAAAGAAATTTTCAAAAGAAATACTGCTAAAGTATATAGGTGTCTATATTGGATCGTCAGTCAATTTATTACTGAAATTCAGTCTAAAAGCTCACCAAAGTAATCGCCAAGAGATAAAGGGATAAAATTGATGAAATAAAGAGACTTGGAATTGAGGAAAATATTTGGGTAACGAACTCTCAGACACAGATAATTTAGCATAGTATAAATTAAAGCTTGTGAACGTATTTCACCATATATTGTTTTGGACAAGTCGATGGTTCGAGGAATCTTTCATAAAAATCTGATCAAATCAAAAGTTTAGCTTTTCTCTGTCGCGAGAAAGTCACCAAATGAAAAGTATCGAAATCCCATACACTATCGATTTTGATTCGAGTTTGTTATATTATGATTTAAGAGGAGGTTACATTTTTCTTATGATCACACAAGTTGTGAAATCTATTTGACATCGTGAAATCGTCGAGCTTTGAAGACATTATCATCGGTTTACTATACTTAATCAAATAGGATCGGAAAGTCTTAGCAGTCAGATGGAATCAGTCAAGTCTGTGATTAGTGACTCTTGAGATATCAGGAATCATAACAAACACATCATGTCAATGTTAACTCGTAAAGGAACTATGGTTAGGAAACCTCGCCGGAAGACGTCAGTGAGACGTACACGGTCAGCGGGAAGTTACACCAGTAACCAAAATGATTCATCCGTACCAGCTTCACCTATAGCTAAGTTTCATCATACCGGATCATTTAAATCATCCCCAGCTAAAAGTATCAACAGCGCAGTTCTAGTAGGTTACTCTTTTTTGTTGTTTTTTTTTTCGAGTACCGATATTGTTTGATTATGGAATGCCTGGGGCAAGAGTTTGGGCATTCTTTCAAATATGTCAGCTGGTTGCAAACCAATATTTGAAGTAGTGTATTGCAAAATAGATGTTAAAGGGATATATCCGACTAAATTGTATTCCAAAAGATAAATCTCGATGACAGCTATCCGTATCCATAGCTTTATGAATGAAAATCTGCTATGGGATGACGGTAACAGCCCTAGGTTGGGTACTTTGTCACTTCCAGTTGTTCATGCTTTATTGAATAGTGTACGGACTCAAAGTCAGATTTTCATTCTGAAAAGTGGGCTGTTGAGGTTAATTGGGTTGTAAGGCAAACAATTTGACGACTATGTCACTTTAATAAGAGAATAATTTACAATTTACCACTAATTAGAACTTTTAAATCAGACTAATTTTATTTCTCGCTAAAGGATATATACTTGTGTTGTAAAGTGTATATTACTTAGTCTTAAGAAAAAAATACGAAAGATTCCTGTCCTGTCACAAATGGGAAAATGTTTTAAGATGTTACGAATAACGCACAAGATCGGTATTTTAAATCACATAACACATACTGATTTTCGTCTTTTAAGTACATAACTTCATAACATTATTTGGGTATGACTATTTAAGTGACATTTTGTAAAATATCAAAGAAGTGGTCTCATCGGAATTTAAAAGGATGACAATACTTTTTAAATGTCAAAATTTAAGTGTAAAGACCATTGCGCAAGCTTAATTCTCATTATAGCATTTTCATTATAGCCTTTATATAGCCTTAGCCGTCCCCATTTGCCCAGAAATGTCTTGAACGACCGACATTATAGAGATTGTAAAGGGGTTTTCTAAATTTGGTATGAGTATCAGGCACACCGATAGCACCAATTTGCACCATTTCATTTTTTTAGTCAGCCGTCTGGTGTCTGTGGTTCCTGCAATTCCACTGACGTCACTCATCAAAAAAAATGTTTGTATTACATTATTATATAACACTTCGCGATCAGTGACGTCATCAAACACTTAGTTTTATTGGAATTGCAGGAACCACAGACGTCTGATTTAAGATTGGAATGGCGCAAATTGATGCTATCAGTGTCCCCGATACACATAATTTATTTTTAGAAAACCTTTCTACAATGCCTTTAAAATCTCATTCATTATATCCGGATCGATTCGTTCTTTTTGTTTTTAGATAAAAGTAACATTTTATTCAGTGCTTTTTGTCTGTTATAACTAATTGAAAAAAGATTGATTTCCGATACGTTTGATCTCATTTCCTTGTCGTAATCTTACTTCTACTGAAAACGAAATTGAGTTTTACTTCCTAAGTTTTTCTGCTCCTCAATTTGCAGATGGAAACTGATATCACACTGATCTGTATATGGAGAACAGACTGCTACATGACAGGGGCTTGATTTCCAGAAAACATTGAGCGTAACTCCATAATGATATCTCTTAATTCAGTTATTCCTATCCATTTACTCATTGGGTCGACTGGAATAATAACTTGTTAAAGGGACTTTCACATGCCGACAGAGATTAAAAGTCCCGACTACCATCAAAGGATAAAGTTGGGAAAAATTGCTTCGGGTTGCAGTTTCTTGTAAGATTGATCTTCGGTTAGGCTATTGTCAACTATCGGTATTCAAATGATTCATAAGTATATGTCAATGTTCTTAAGAATCTTGCTTGTTTTCACAATAATTGATATTCAATAAGCCTTTTGTGTATAATTGTGTATGTTGAGACAAAAATGCGAGTTCAGCACATCAATAATTTGTTTCCTTTGCCCACATCTGAAAAATCTCCAGTGTACCTAACTATTTTGCTCTTTGCATAAACATTTCTTTATGTAATAGTATGAAAGGACAGGCTTTTGCCTACAGCACCCCCTGCTTGCTTTTTTAGAATCAAAATCCAACGTCCGGTTCCCCTACAATTAAACAAAAGGATTGCTTCAATTTAGACTGTTGTCATATCCAAGGTGTTATTAATGTAATCACGTAGTTATTTTTATAAGAACAAAAATCGCATAATTCCTTTAAAAATACTTTAGACTGGGAATTTTACTCACTATTTCTATATATATCACAGAGTATCTTAAAATAATGAGTCGTCATTTTAACATTCAAATGCGGATAATTCTGGACACCCGTGGATTTGTAAGCTTAAACACTATTACTGAATGGCTTAGCTAAAAAATTCCCGTTTCTGAGACTAAAGTAAAAAAAATTGCTTCCTGGTCTGACACCAGTCTTAATGGGTGCCATATCATGTTATTTTTATTATAAATTGTTGTCAGGGTTAAGGTGGCTGAAATCAGAATGATTTATCAAACAAGCAAAGATTTAATGTATATTGTTATATATATGTTATATATTAACGATAACAATCATTTTATATCTACAAATCGGTACTACAACTGGTCTAATTACAGTTAATCGAGGCAATAATGTATAACAATGGGATATAGATTTTTTAAAAAACAGATTAAAATCTATATATATTTACTAAGTATTTGTAAATACCACAGGAATATTCCTTTGAAACCAAACCTTTTAAATTGTTCTGACCATTAGGAAAGGACAGGATAGTATTGATCAAGAAGAACCACAAGATTAAGTGACTTATTTGTTTTAAGAGACAATGGCGATGTCAACCTCTCGAGATTGGGGGTACAAATAGGGGACAGAATAACTCAATGGGAAGTGGGGGACAACTCTGAATTTAAAATACGGTAAGTCTATGGAGGAGTCATAGTCGCAAGCCTCCCATTGAGCGTCTGAGAGGGTTCTATCAAGAATGCATTTACTGGCACAGCCACTACTAGTCTTTATGTATCAATTATAGTTCCATTTGCTATTTATCTCGTCTGTGGTATGTAGTGTTATTTCTGAAGTACTTGAGCATATCTTCATCTCACTATCAAGATTCATTAAAGCCATATTACATGTTTGTAAGTTTATATGGTTATTGTCTGGTCAACCTCTTCTGGATAGTTCAAGACACGTGTAGGAAAAACAATAGTACATTATGGAAACCATAATATTGTCACTTTTGCACGTGTAAAGGTGAAAATCACTCTCTTTTAAATCTCATTATCCCTAGTCTGTGGGCTACCTCATCGGCTACACAGACGACCATAAATGGTTGCGAATCATTAAATTAAATCTGTAACGCCGTCTAATATTGCGACATTCGATCCAAATTACCCCCCTCTTCGCCCACATTATTGTTATGTGGGGCGTTAATGCAACGACACCAAGGAAATCTGCTTTTTTTGCTAATTGAAGATAACTTAAAGTAAGCAAATATGTTTTGTGATTTGTCACTTGCTCAAGGGTACTTCCTGAAAACCTCGTACTATTTACACACAAAGCTACAACGCGAGAAGAAAATAAGTTTCCGATTCTTTATTCCAATAAGTCCATGGTATATTTGACAAAACATGTAGAAATCTGACCTTTCACATAAGAGCTATAATCATTGTCAAGATTAATATAGATAACAAGCGTATGTTCGACTAATTTCACGCAATATTTTGTTCAATGAATCTTATTGGTCGAGGGGCTAAGCTCTTAACAAATCTTATGACGGGATATTTTTCTGCTATGGCGGATTCATTTAAAAGGCTGCAGGGCCTTAGATGATTAAAATCAGTGTTTAAAGGGACATATACGCCATTCCTTTTCACCAATCATACTTTAGTATCAGAAACGGGTTTTTTTTAGCTAAGCCAATCAGTAATAATACGCCATTCCTTTTCACCAATCATACTTTAGTATCAGAAATGGATTTTTTTTAGCTAAGCCAATCAGTAATAGTGTTTACAGCCCACCTTCGAAATTTGAGCCTTCAATTCCATGTGTGTCCAGAATTATCCGCGCTTGAATGTTAAAATGACGACTCGTGAAATATAGTAGGCATATAGAAATATCGAGTAATAAACGTCTGACACCATTGCTTAGGGTACATGCCAGAAACCATTCAAAATCGTCGAAATTTGAGCCTTCAAATGCATGTGTGTCCAGAATTATCCGCGTTTGAATGTTAAAACGACGACTCGTGAAATATAGTAAAGATATGTAGAAATATCGAGTAATAAACGTCGGACACCACTGCTTAAGGTACATGCTCGAAACCATTCAAAATCATAACTGAGATATAATCCAGATTAAAGAAATACAGAAATCTAATTGGATAATAGAATTAAAGTTTGAATCGATTTTAAGATTGACCAACCAGATGACTGGAACACTAAAATCAGCTGCGGTAAAGTTTTTGGAGAATACGGTCCCAGATTGAGATATAACCATTAAATATTTTCATCCATTTATGCTTTTGATTTCAGTCCTCAGAAGACGAGCGACAGTTTTTTCGATCAAGTTTAGATTGGAGTGAAGCTATATCAGCTAGTAAAGTAGAAAGGGAGGTGATTGTTCAGATTCAAGAAGCCAATACGGAGGCAGAAAACGCATGTGATTTTTTATGTCGAGCTCACAGAATCATTTGTAGCAGTTGTAAGTATTCTGTCCATATACCTCAAAGCATATTTGTGCTGTTGCCACAATTTCAACAATGATTGGTCGTTTGGTACAATATGACAAGTTAACGTCCAGTTTCAGATAACTGATATCGCAGACAGACTTTCAGTTATAAATGCTCTTCATGAACAATGTTTATTAACCTACAACTTATCATTCTCTCAGGTCACGGACATAAAGATAAGTTTCAGGCAAATTTCTAATTAGTGCACCAGAAAAAAAATATATATTCGTCCTTAGGATTGTAAGTATATGAATTGTTTCAAGGAAGCGTAGAAAAGGTATATTCTGTTTAATCACGCAACATCATGGCTGAGGTCGACTGGGAATTTAAAATATCCCTATCAGCATTCAATGACAAGTGCGAATTTTCAGTGGTCGGTGCACTAAGGTCGATCAAATTCTTTCAGACATCGGAAGTTGCTTGCAGAAGTTAATTCAGCTATTCTTCGATATAGTAATAGCTTATATCCAGAGGCCAAGTTAAACCTTTTCATCGTTTCTTAGAAACATTTCGACTCCGTATTTCTATTAACCCAAATTGCATTAAGCTGAATTAACATATATTCAATAAAACATTTTATGAATCAACGTTAACGGGTGTGATCATATATAAAACTGAATTCAGATGGATTAAATACTCTTATAAGATTTTCTGTTTGACAGAAGTTGATACATAGATTTTTATTATGGATGACATTGAATGTAATTCTAATTAAATTTTGTCAGATAATGTTATTTTCGTCTCATATTGAGTTATCATTACATTATGTTCTACATGGTGACAGAGTAGATTTATCAATAATGTGATTGAAACAAATAAAATTAACATCAGAACCAGAGACTTAAAGAACTGTGACACTGTCAATACGAATACATTGGAGGTCGATTCCAGAGCCACGAAAAATGTCTTAGCTCAACTTAGTTTTTACAAATATTCATAATAAATCGCGCATCAAGGAACGGAAAAAATTTGAAGATTAATGTGATAATGCCAGAAATATTGTGCTCTGTGGAATAGATTGATATATTTGTCTTTGATAAAATCATTTATGCATCTGTATAAAAGTTTCTTCAAATTTGAGTAAAGGAAAACTCCGGATAAAACAGAATAAACTGTATACCTTAGTCTTCTGAAAAGGTCGACAGTCAATCACCTAACACTGAAAACAATTCGCCTTTTATGTTTTAAATATGACAAGAAATCTAATATCGTCTAAGGGATTTCTTTACTGGTCAAAAACTTTTTCAAATATGGTGACTTCAGCCCATGTTTGCAATTTTGACATTTTTTTTCATTTTTAAAAAAAATTGACGGATTTTGGGATGCAAGACATTTTTTAAAATTTCAAGGTGGGGGAATAAAAAACATAAATCTGGGTTAATGATGACAAATGGAAGAGGCTATGGCAATAAGAGGTTCGACAAACCAAGGACAATCTGAATAAAAAAGGATCTCTAACTGTTTGTCGCTTTTTCCCCCTCCTTTAGGTTGAAAAATATTTGGCGAACAATTTGTATGGAATTTTGACGTACATGATTTAAGAAATCCGAAAATTATGAAGCGTATATTAAGACATCATTTGATTTTCATCTTCTCTTTATTAAATAAATATTAAATTACTATAAGAGAAAAACATTGTAATCAGATTTCGACTTAATGGCTTATGACACAATCCTCTGAAACTTTTTAACTCTCCTGATGCAACTTTTCATTATGCTTGATATATATATATATATACTTCCTTCTATGAATAATTCATTTGCTTCTACCAATGTATTGTCAATCTCTTTTGTGAGGATTTCTAGTTTTGTTGTGCGATTCGAATATAAGTAAGCACTTTTTCGTGCTTTTTCATTCAGCAATATCAAAGTTAAAGACAGTCTAATTTGTAAAATCAAAAGCTTGTTATAAGATCTTATCCAAATAATACATTTTAGCAGTTCAAAGTGCAAAAAAAAAATGGGAATGAGTTATAGAAACAGTTCCAAACATATAATACTTCCTATATACTATCCAAAATCTTATCTACATGCCAAAGTTGATAAAATAATCGAATTAAGAGACAAAATAAGCTATCCTATTCCAAAGGTAAAAAAATATTACTCTAAGTCCGCCTAGAAATTAAAGTGCACTTCATCCAACAATATAACACCTCTATTATTCCGTCTAAAGTGCTAGATAGCATCATTAGTCGTCCTAGCTTTTAAACTTCAAGTTAAAAGAAAAAAAGAAGGAAACATTGAAAATGAGATCTTTATGTGCCACTGCGAGTATCTTATGGACTGGAAACTTGCGAGTTGATAATAAATCATGTTTATTACCCAATTATAGAGAGAAACTCGTCAATTAGTTGGCTTTTAGAAGATACGGGGATTTGTGATTCCTGTCTCTACAGGATATTGTGGTTCCAATTTTATTGATGCTAAATCTAATCAAATTGTATTTTTCGTTTTACTGATCTTAGACTGTTGACCTCGGCCAATCCGCAGAGTGAGTCGACTTTTCGAGCACTGTGGATCATTTGGGTTAATGGAAATTTCGGGTAACATAGTTTTTAGGAGACGTTTTAGATCCAAAAGGACCATTCTTTTTTATGTTGATATTATCTTCCAACTTTTTCATTTTCAGCATTTATGACCGGTTCCTTGGCAGTGATATTAATTTTACCAATAGCTATGATATGTATAGGTAAGGCATTTATATTATAATTTTTTTATCGAGTTATTGCCCTTGAATAACTTCAAAATCAATTTGTGAACACATCATATATAAGGACCATTTTTAGAGTTTTTAGAGTTATTTGTTTTTTTATCAACGGACATTTATGATAAATAATATGTTCAAATATGACGGATTTTCCTCTCGTTTCAGGAGTGAAGTATTTAAATGATTGTCCAATTCAACCAATGATACCAGTTTATTTATTAGTGGGAGGATGTTTCGGATTATTGAAAGTGACGTCATGTTTTTGGCAGACAATGCAAGCTAAGAAGGAGGGGAGTATTGACAATTTGTTGGAGCACGATCGCAGGGGTCTGTTTTCCTCTCGAACTAATAAATTCATGGGCTGTATTGTCAGTATGTTTCTGATTGTTTGGCACGTTTTGGGAACATTTTGGGTAGGTTCAATATGGCGACCACCTTATCTCCAACAGGTTCACGACCCTAACAATTGGTGTGATTCAACCGTGTACATATTCGCCGTCAGTGAAATATTGGGTGTGTTCTGCTTTCTGTGCCTTTTTTGTCTGACATTTTGTTTATTGGCTTCTTGTTTTCGAATGTGTGGAATCAATGTTGGAACCCAAACAGATCTTTAAAATTTAACATTTAAATCATCGAAACATATACTCAAGTGCCGATACATATAAAACATTATCAAAATATTTAATTTCTTTCTTATTTTTCTAAAAGTTATATCCATATTATTAACATTCTAAACATTCACTTTTTCAAATTTCTATCCTCAGTGGCATATTATAGTAGGCTAATTAGCCTAAAAACATAAGCGACGACACAAAAAAGAATTATAATGTTATGACAAATGATATCTGTGAAGAAAGACTACGGTATGACACATAATACAGTTCATTACACGATTGGCGTTGTTTACCTGTGACGTTTGGGCCTACTTTATTCATAAGTGTATATTTAAGTGAAGTTTCCCCCTTCAGTAGAACTGTCTGTATTAGATTCAACCCAATTCATCACATTAGATTCATCGCATCCGACTTGAGTGTGCATATAAGAAAAAAAATCAAACAACTACAATTTACAAGGATAACAACTTAGTTAAGGATCCTTTCTACAAACTGGTCCTTGGCCAATCCTCTTGCCATTGATCTCTCCCGGATTATCCGTACCCATTTACAGCTTGGTCGACGGGAATTATGAGAGAAGATGACTAATTCAAGGTCATTGGAATTTCACACGCCAATCGAGATCGGAACCCACAGTCGACATTCGCTGAAGTAAACAAGCAAATGACGTCATGTAAAGAACCAACGCTCTAAGCGACTGTGCTAAGACCTCACAAATATAGAATTTAATTGAAAACCTAGAAACTGAAATCATCTGGATGGCCGGCAACTCCGTCCTCCAGCTCCATGTCGACTATCAGATTCAATTTTTAATGGAAAGTATAGACGCATCTGGTCGCATCTACGATTTTTTCAGCCATCAGATTTTTTCAGGCGCCGATGATATGCTTCTACTAGTCGTTGAAAAGTCATTTAGAATTTGGCTTTGAAAATCACCATTGTAAGAAAAGGAAACAGCGTCTATAGGGGAATTAAATCAAGAAAGTTTTTCTGTATGATATAATATAAGAGGTGTATAATAAACACAAACGAGAGGTGATTCACAACTTTTAAGTATAAATATAAACATTTACCATTCAGATTAAGATAATACTATGTGCTCTTTTAATTACAAAATTTCTATCTGTGCACAGATCTTTAGCATGAAAGATAACTACGTACATATATTCAGATATACCTGATTGGTTTCTGTTGTACAATTTGCTACAATGTGATAAGCTTTTAAATAGTCTGTTATTCAGATATATTGTTAATATTGTGCCCTTTGTGATGGTTGCTATTCAGATAATATTGCTAACAATGTACGCCTCATGATGGTTGTTATTCAGATATGCTTTGCATTGCACAAGTTTACACAAATTACCAGAGTTCTAATTCAGATATATTGTTTAGATTGGTGAGTTTACTTACAGGATTGTTATTCAGATATTCTGTTAAGATTATACAATTAACTAACTTTGTTATTCAGATATTTCGTTCAGATTATACAATAAACTAAAGTTGTTTTTCGGATATTCTGTTAAGATTATTAAATTTACTAGGGTTGTTATTTAGATATATTTTGATAGTGTTCATATTCAGATACACTGTTACGATTATACAATTTATCATGGTTGTGATTCAAATATATATTAAATATTATTATACAACTAGGTATTCAGATATACCGTGAAGATTATAGCCTACAATTTAATAGGGTAGTGTTCTTATAATTATTAACATTTTATGTGAGTTTATCCAGATAATGTGATACGATTATACAATGAACAAAGGTTGTAATTCATATATACTGTTATACTCCAGTTCACTTAAGTTTTTTTTTTAAAATCAGTATGGTGTTCCGATTTCCCGACTATTTTGGTTGTACTTTGGCTATGTGTTTAACATCGCTACATTTGTTATTCAGATATACTATTATCATTGTACTCTTCCATACGGTTGTTATTAAGATATACCTTGACAGTTGTCATCCCAAAAAATGGTTAATGTTGTACTTTTCGATACAGTTGTGATTAAGATATTCTATGACGATTATACAATTTATCACGGTTGTGATCTGATTATACATATAAACATAAACTCTGAGCATTATTATATATTTTCAATAAAAGTTGTAAATATTTCGATGTATTTTCTATATTGATTATGGTTCAGATTTATTCAGATATCACACACATTTAAATAGTTCCATATCAGAAAGGTTTAACTGAATACATAATAAATTATGACTGTTATTATAATAGTAATGATCCAATTTACACAAATTATTTCCGCACATTCGTAAGTAACAGTAAAAAATTGTCGTCTGCTTCCGGCTAATGTAGGCGGATAACCTCATGCAATGTAAAATGGAAGCAATTTCTAACGCATTTTTGAGTCTTCGGGACGTGGTCTCGGGTTATTGTCGTACACATGATATAGTTTCTTGCATACTGACAACAGAAACCGGATAGAAAAAATGAAAAAAAAAAGAATTATGACAATGTAAGATCCAGAATAAACTACAGCTAACAACGTCGTTTATTACTTTTGTAATGCAGATCAGTATATTAATCTATTTTTGTTTAAATGAATATTTTAGAGGTTTCATTTGTTTGTTTTTTTTTTTTTTTTTGCATTTTTTATCCTTGATGATTTATATCCCAGTCAAAATCATAAGAAAAAAAATCCCTAAAAAATTAAAAACTCTAAAACAGTCGCATTTGTACCGCGACCTATGAGACTTTATTGTATCCTACGATGCGCTTATGGCGACTAGGACGCTTCTATTGAAATATTTGGGATTGTTAGGGGCTTAAACTCAGAGCTAACTGGAAACCCTTTGGGAGCCCAATATGCGCATTGTGAACCTTCACATGAGGACTCTTTAGACTTGAGAATCGTGTTAAGGACGTAATGAAGTCGCAAAAAATCTTTTTCAGTGTCTTTACCACACTATATACTGCGTTTTTATTGGTGTAACGGCGCTCGTCTAACGGCCTTCTTTATTCCATTGTGTTCCCGACGATTCCCAGAATAGATTACCAAACCCTGGCGTTGTCTGTCCATAACAAGTTTTATGGTAGTATAATTGTATACAAATCAAACAGTCATAGGGAAATTTGAAAAATGAATTATCGACGTCTGTCATTAACAAAGGGAGATAAAGACATTTAAAAGGTTCGCAAAGGCCAACAATATTTGGTTGTAGCATAACTGAACACTTATGCTCTGTTAAACGGGAGTTTACGCGATAATGGTACTATGTATTATCAAATATTTAAGTTATGAGATGGAATTTATGTGTAGGATTAAACATGGCAGAGAGTTTTTATGATATTAAAAACCCATATCCCGAGAGAAGTGTTTTATCTGACTTATAAACCGAAAAAGACTCACTAGCTGTTTGGTTTTTCTTTGGAAAAACAATACTTATAAGTAACTATAATGGACGCAACTCGAGCCTTCAAGTCTTGATTGGATCATTAACCATTGAGCTAGACTTACTATCGAGGTAACCTTTTTTACGTTACGTGCTCAAATGATGAGTAGATTGGAAATATGAATAATGATGTTGACAATATTCAGGTTAAGGCCTTAGTATACCCAATCTAATTTACTGTACAAAATCAAAAACAAATCATCGCTCAATCAAAAGTTAACCCTACTAGTATATATTGAAGATAACCAACGTGCTCTCCTCTGTCTATAAATAACATTCTCTGGAAGAGAAATTTTCTGGCGAAGGGGTGCAACTCGTATTTACATCATCAATGGGAATTTTATAAGAAAGGGATATTATGGGAAACACAATTTAACCTGTATAATGGGGATGACTTCACTAGAGGGTTGTAATAATCTATAGTACCCTAATCAACGTGTGGAGTCTAAAAATATCATTCATAAACAACTTGACAACACCTTCAGTTCAAATATCAAAATGACGTCTCTGCCAAACGTGAGTAAATTATGGTGGGAAGTTGCTTCTAAATGGGTCATTCTATATCAATGCCCAATTTCCATACCAACAATGGTATTTTGAAATATTTAACACTGTTTTAGTTCAAATCATGATGGTATATTGTCCTTTCGAGCTTAAAACGGTTACTCATAAATTCCAAATTATGCCAAGGAATGTATATTCTACCAAAGCCAATAGACTGAGTGTAACGCTTGATGCCTTAGTTTGGTATTGTTCTTCTGGAGTCTTGAACATCGGTCGAAAATGAGATTCGTGTAAATATAATCAAATGGTTACAATGGCTAGATCCTTTTTAGATTCATTTATATGTAATAAAAACATTGTTTGAGAAATGAAGATATTGAAATACCAATGTTACTATCCTTCATTTTCTACTTTAAATCTTTTTTTAATCAAAACACGTTAAAAGGCCTACACTTATTTCATGTCATATATCATACATATCTTAGTAGTCAACTTGCAATAATATCTTAAACTAATATGCTCTTGCACTGAGTTAAATATCTGGGAAGATATAAGATATATAAAATGGGTAAACGTGATTTTAAAAGAATAACCCGGAGACATGAACGTAAGGGCATCAATGATATTGCAAGAGATATATTAAAGATTGGTTCCCCCTTTCATTTATGAATAGAAAGTAAAGGTGACTTGCAAAAATACAAGTTTGTCTCACGTGCCCATAATTAATTCATAATAAGCTAAATAAAATAAGAATTACCACCAGTATTCCAATGAGTGACCGATCAAAGGTCAAAACGTATTTTGTGTTTATCCAGACTGTTGATTCATGAACATTTATGATTGGTTAAAACTACTTATTATATGTAATGAGAATATAATGATATGATTAAGAATACATGATGATTCATTACAAACACTAATTAATCAAATAGTTTGCTAAATTTGACACTAAAAAATAAGAAAAAACCACCTTTAAAGGAACAGATTCGCCATCCCGTTTGACCAATAGTCTCAGAAACCGGATTTTTTTTTAGTTAAGCAAATCAGTAATAGTGTTCACAGCTCACAGTCGAAA